GGGGGGGGTTACCTTGGTTGGTGATTGGCTAATGGTTACACAAGCCAAAAATCCAAAATGCCAAAATGATCGTTATGACATCATAAAGTGGCCAAAATCTGCTCAGCTCATTTTCAGACAGGTTTTTATATAAATGGATCAGGACAAAAAGAGAGAGAATCTTTTTTCCTGAAACTTTCAGAATCTCTTTACACAGAGGAGACACAAAAAGGGGATTTTGCATAATAGGTGACCTTTAATACATCACAGCCTGAGGAGGAAACAGGAAGTCAGAGGCTTCACAGACCCACCATGGAGAGAGTCTGCCGACGGGCGTCCAGCGGCTGCGGCTCACCAGGTATCCCACCAGGGGGTCCGTCAGCGCGTCCCAGGCCCGGCTCGCAAACAGAACCACGGACACAGAGGACACCTCCATCTGGGGAGGACACTTTATTTTGAAATCCAGAGCAGTAGTGAGAAATACAGATATGTTTTGCAGTGATGAAAACCTCACTGAAAGTAAAAGGGATGAATGTGCAGTAAAATGTTGTTAAGATTAATTAACAGAACCACAGACATAGAGGGGGCCTCTATCTGAGGAGGACACTTTATTTTGAAATCCACATAGGGCAGTGTAGTAAAAGCATATTTTGCAAAAGTGGAAAAAGTATTCAGATACGTGAAAATACTCCACTATGTCTAGACATAATAAACCTTACTTTATTAGAAGTAGGCTACATAATCAGCAACTTAAAGGGGACCTATCATGCAAAATGCACTTTTGTACGTCTTTTATACATGAATATGTGTCCCCGGTGTTCCAGGGAACTCACCAAGTGTCAGAAAACACAACCCTCTCTATTTTCCTCCATACCCAAATCTCTAAAAAAGGGGCTGCAACGGATCTGATAAAAACGGATCCAGATTTGAACACTGTCCTGACGTCAGGAGAGTGGCGCTACGGCTATTGGGCCAACTCCACCAATCAGGAGGAGACAGCCACGGCCATTGCCGTTCGAAAGCGCTGGAGACGCTGTAGTACATATGCCAGGCCTGTAGGTGGTGCTGTTCTCACAGAATCTGCCCTTGCAAAAACAGAGCTAAAAAATGTCAAATTGAGCAAAATGAGGCATGGCTAAAATGCATGATCTGTTTGGTATTTTGAAAAGAAAAAAGTATAAATATGCCTTATATAGGTATGGTCCTACACTATATTATTCAAATATAGCATGATAGTTCCACTTTAAACTAAAAGTATTGAGTAGTGTAATGAGGCTTAATCTGTGGAGTGTACTTTATTTTGAAATCTTCATAGATGCATAAGGTAAAGTAAAAACAGATAATTGTTGGTGAGGTTAAAGAAGAAGTATTAAAGGTCCCATGTCATGGCCATTTCTACTGATCATAATTCCATTGTTGAGGTCTACTAGAATAGATTTATATTGTTCAATGTTCCAAACTCACATTGGTTTCTCATACAGCATCTCTGTATAGTATGTGTATTCACTCTCTGTCCTAAACGGCTTGTTGGAGCTCCTGCCCCCCCCCCCCCCTCCCTGTGAGCCCACTGTGCTCTGATTGGTCAGCTCACCTACTCTGTTCTGATGAGTCCACCACCGTTACAGCGGAACATCAGTGATTATGTGTTACAATGGCGTTTGTTAGCAACCAGAAAATGACACCAGTAATGACAAACAGATGAGAATGCTGCGTGGGGTCTGGGTGCCGTGTTGGCGGGATGTTGCGGGGCTTGCTGCTCCGCCCTTTGAGGATCGAGGAGCGGAAAGTGTGAGCTGGATTACTGGTGTCGTCTCCTGGTTGCTGCGTGGGGACTGCGAGACAGCGAGACACCGCAGAACTCAGCCTGAGCACACACACACAGCCAGGCTGCGGAAATCCGCGGAGCCGCGGCTGAGAAAATATAAGATGAGTGAGAGTGTGTGAGGAACAATCCGCGGAGCCGTTACGTCACTATACTCGTTACGTCACTATACTCGTTACGTCACTATACTCAGGAAGAAAAAAATGGAAAAAGAGAAATCTCCAACGAGGTGTTCTGGGGCAGCATAGACAGGTATTTTCTGTGTTAGAGTTTTACTCGCTACAGGGTGTACTTTGAGGGTTTGTGACTTTCCAGACTGTTTACATGCATAAAAAGCTACATAACACACAATGGGACGGGTGATAACCAGAAAAGCATGTCATGGGACCTTTAAGCATTTTATTGCAAACAAAGTACCAATACCATACTGTCAAAGCGCTCTATAGAAAGTAAAAGCATGTATGTCTTACCTGCACGACGTCCAGTAGAAATATCTGCAGAGAAACACTGATGGCTGCCGTGGTGATCTGGTACGGGACCCCCCCCCACAGCGTAACACACCTTCCTCACCAGAGGAATCCCCCCCGACCCCTGTGAAGAGACGGGAAATATTTATAAAAAACAAAAATGAAGATATTGCATGTCTGTTAACTGAATGATATTGAATAATGCTGGATCTTGGTACTTCTCACAATAACGGTGAAGGTGTGGGTTGCAGAAAATATACCTGTTTAGGATTATTTTCAAACTAAACCATAATATTATGTGGAATATTAAAAGGTGAATTGCATTAAAATCTATGACTGGATCGAGATATTAATTAAGGCAGACCCTGCTGAAAAAACCAGCATAGACCAGTTTAAGATGGTTGCTGGTGTTAGCTGGTGTTAGCTGGTGTTAGCTGGTGTTAGCTGGTGTTAGCTGGTGTTAGCTGGTGTTAGCTGGTGTTAGCTGGTGTTGGCTGGTGTTAGGCTGGTGTTAGGCTGGTGTTAGGCTGGTGTTAGGCTGGTTTAGTTGGTTTACCAGGCTGGACAAGCTGGCCAGGCTGTTCTTGCTGGTTCAAGACCAGCCTGGTCAGCTAAACCAGCATAGCCCAGCATGGATGTCATGCTGGTCTATGCTGGTTTTAGCTAGTCTATGCTGGTGAAGCTGGTGAAGCTGGTCTATCAGCAGTCTTGCTAGCAAAACTGAAATAGACACAGACAGACAGAGAGGGCGGGACACGGGGGAACGGCGACACGGCAGTGGTTGAAACAAAGCGGTATGTTTTGACTGGCACTAACGGTCGAGGAGTGAAGATCAGTTGAACGTTTCTGTGACTCCGCCCAGCGGCTGCTCTTCTGAGAGGCACCGCTCTGACAGCTCTGTCTACTGGGAAACGCGCTAAAAGTCCTTCTGGAGGTAAGCAACACTACACAATTTCACCAAGTCTGAGAGTAAAAGCTTTCTCGAAGGTTCGTTTTGCTTTCTTACAACGTTACGTTAATGTTAACTTAACCTTACGTTTGCTAGGAGGCTAGCTGTCTTAGCTAACAATAGTTAGCAGCTAACGTTTTCTGCAGTTTGTGTTTCCCCTGAAAAACGTGATGCAGCTATAAGTTGTAAGTTAACTTAACGTTATCTTACAAGTTGAGAGGGTTACGTTTTGTTTAAAATCGTCAATGTAATGCCATTAGAGGTGTTGTGTTGAACATGAAGTTAGCTAACTGTAGCTCTCCACCAAAGGTTAGCATGTTAAGCTGTACTTTCTGATGCAGCTAGCTTAATACAAAGAGGGTTTTTGTGCTTCATTGTAAACTTTTCTTACAAATGTGTGTTAATCTACCTGAAATTGTGGGGACAGTTTTTTTCTACTCAATGATACAGACCATTGTTGAGGAGATGCAAAACATACATATACTTTGAGTAATGTTACTTTGCTGCTAAAAGATGAAACATTATCAGATAAGGACATCACCAAAGTGTGTGAGTCTGTCTGTTCTTTGCATGTCGTACACACTGCTCTGGTATGAATTAAAAATATAATTGTAAAATGTAAATCTCGCTCTTGTCATCGTTCAGGCTTTGCATTTGAACCCCTATGACTGGTTGCGGACTTGAAGGGAACGCCTTCCTGACATCCAGGAAAAAGGTGAGATTCTAATCTAATCTAATCTAATCTATTTCAATGCCAAAAGCAAGTTATTGTTTTTAACTTTTTTTTAATATGATTTTTTGGGGAATTTCAGTTTTATTGGATAGTCTACTATCCAATAAAACTGATCTACTGGAAACAGTGGAGAGGGAGGAGATGATATGCAGCAAAAGGCCGAGCCGGATGGTTGCTGCTCCGTGTGGAACGTGTTCTATCAGGTAAAGCACTTTGGTACCCAGTTATTTATGGTATTGAGTTTGAATGTAGCCTTTGGAAGGTATTTTCCAACAGTGCATTGTAAAGACTGAAAAAACAGGCTCAGGTTAAAGCTTGACTTGATTTGGTCTTTTACTTAAGAGGATGTTTGTCCTCCTGTCTTCTCTTATTTCCTTATCTTTCTTTCAGGTGTAACATCTACCAATGGTTGTACATGACACCACCTCTTTGCTGTCCTACTAGTCAACCCTCCTGATCAGAGCCTTTCCTAAATAGTGGTAAGTTGTTTAACAGTTCAGTGTACGTTAATTTAGCAACTTAATGCTTTACTGCTGTTGAATAAACCCTATATATATACATCCATCAGCAATCAATAAAACAAATCATCCAACACAAAATAGAAGAAATCTGGACCTATTTCTTTTTATACCACAGCATCTATTGGGACTGCTCATTGATGTCATCAAGAGCCATTGAGTCTAGCTTTTGTAGTCGGCCTCTCAGAATGTTTATCATTTCTTTGTCTCTTAACATTCCTATAATCATTTGTTTTTTTATTGTTGATATTGTTTTGTTCTTTATTTTTGTTGTGAGAATCACTTTGCAATTCTGTAAGTGCTATATAAATAGTTATACTAATATAATTGTTGTTACCATCATTACTATTATTAAAAATGTCTTCTTTGTTTTCTTTATTCATCGCTGCAGAAAGGTTCAAAAAGTTCCCTGTACATGGAACCATGCCTGTCCTCTGTTCCACATGTCTTCAGTCCGTCCTGGACCCTATGACTCTGTTCCACATGTCTTCAGTCAGTTCTGGACCCTATGACTCTGTTCCACATGTCTTCAGTCCGTTCTGGACCCTATGACTCTGTTCCACATGTCTTCAGTCCGTTCTGGACCCCATGACTCGGACACTAGTTCTACCAAGGCTCATTAGAGGTAAGCAGTGGTAGGAGAGTGGAGTTATCTTTGTATTTAGGCTGCAAGTCGACAAGAATAGATTACAAATCGCTTAAAAAATTGTTCAAACAAGAGGCACCATGTGTTACGCAGGTGCACATCCACTGGAGGAAGATTCTGAAAGTAAAATATACACTTCTCACTAGAAATGTAATCATAAAGCATTATTATGGCCAAAGTATCCTACAATTCAGGATTTTCCACTGAAAAAAGTGTTGGATTCAAGATTCAAAGCTTTTATTCTCATATGCTCAGCAGCTACAGTGTAGAAATGTCAATGCAATTCTTCTGACCTGAGCTCCTCCAACAATGCAATATATACAATAAAATACAAAAATACAAAATAAAAAGTAGTGCAAAAAGTTTATATACATGTAATATAATAGAATATGATATTTACAAGAACAGAATATTAAATAAAAAATTAAATACGGTGTATTGCGTGGACAATAGACCCAATCACAGTGAATGTTCAAAACTAAACTTGATACATTTTTTTTTTTCATCTCACAGTGCACATATTTAAGTAATCATAACACAAAGCTAAAATGTAATCTGTTTTTTCCTTTCTCTTTTCAAGAGTGCTTCAGAGGATGGCTGAATTCACAAAACGTGGAGAAGACCGAGAAGGAGAAGTTGGCCGGTTACTACATTTCACAAAAAATACAGGACCTTGTGAAAAACGGAAAGAAACAGTTGAAGGAAATTGCTTAAAAATATGAAGTAATGGGTGTTTTGAAAATGTTTTCAAATGTGTGTTAATGTTCATTGTGTGTTATAAATTATTTTCCTGCTTCTAATCATTTGATGTATGAGTATTTATTTACAGACATTCTATACATTCTGGTACCTTTCTGGTAAGGTAGGTGCTCTGATCTGAAATGATAGATGTTCATTGAGCTACTGCAATTGGGTGAGAGTGTTTCATCATCATATATGACCAGCTTCACCATCAAGTAATCCCAGTTAAAGTTCTACTCAAGATCATACCAGTCGGACCAGCTAATGGTGACCAGCTAGAACACTGTGACCACCAGCTTTTACCAGCTATCCTGACCAGCTAATGGTGACCAGCTAGACCACTGTGACCACCAGCTTTTACCAGCTAAACCAGCTATCCCGACCAGCTAATGGTGACCAGCTACTAGACCACTGTGACCACCAGCTTTTACCAGCTAGACCAGCTATCCCGACCAGCTAATGGTGACCAGCTAGACCACTGTGACCAAACCAGCTATCCTGACCAGCTAGACCACTGTGACCACCAGCTTTTACCAGCTAAACCAGTTATCCCGACCAGCTAATGGTGACCAGCTAGACCACTGTGACCAAACCAGCTATCCTGACCAGCTAAAGTGTCCAAAACCCCTCTTAACCAGCAAACTAATCCAGCCTAATATTGACTGGCTGGTCAGGCTGGTTTACCAGCCTGACCAGCCAGACCAGCCAGACCAGCCTTGTTGGTCTAAGCTGGTTTTTTCAGCAGGGGATGCTATTTACACCCGGGTGTCCGTAGCTAACAATGCTATTTACACCCGGGTGTCCGTAGCTAACAATGTTATTTGCACCCGGGCTACACATTAGCTACTGTTTTGGATGTATAGGTATTTATGGAAATGTTTCTTTGATAACTTCATTCCCTTGTGCTGCTGCGTCAAATTGTAATTCCCCTTTCATCAGGGGGGTCTGTGGGACATTTCCTTACAGCCATGTTCACAATATAGCACAGGTGTTCTTTGTCCCTGATGTTCAGGTAACCTTACCAGGCCATTGTAGAAAGAGCAAGAAGAGATGCATAGGCCTACAGTACAACACCCGGGTGTAAATAGCTACAGTGCTTAAGATACGATGTGCCTTTATACATCCACCATCGGGGAATTACAATTTGACGCAGCAGCACAAGGGAATGAAGTTATCAAAGGAACATTTCCATAAATACCTCCAAAACAGTATCTAATGTGTAGCCCGGGTGTAAATAGCATTGTTACCTACAGAAATCCGGGTGTAAATAGCATTGTTAGCTACGGATACCCGGGTGCAAATAGCATTGTTAGCTACGGATATCCGGGTGTAAATAGCATTGTTACCTACAGAAACCCGGGTGTAAATAGCATTGTTAGCTACGGATACCCGGGTGCAAATAGCATCGTTAGCTATGGACACCCGGGTGTAAATAGCATCGTTAGCTACAGACACCCGGGTGTAAATAGCATCGTTAGCTATGAACACCCGGGTGTAAATAGCATCGTTAGCTACGGACACCCGGGTGTAAATAGCATTGTTACCTACGGACACCCGGGTGTAAATAGCATTGTTACCTACGGACACCCGGGTCTAAATAGCATCGTTAGCTACGGATACCCGGGTGTAAATAGCATTGTTAGCTACGGATACCCGGTGTAAATAGCATTGTTAGCTACGGATACCCGGGTGTAAATAGCATTGTTAGCTACGGACACCCGGGTGTAAATAGCATCGTTAGCTACGGATACCCGGGGGTAAATAGCATTGTTAGCTACAGACACCCGGGTGTAAATAGCATCGTTAGCTATGAACACCCGGGTGTAAATAGCATCGTTAGCTACGGACACCCGGGTGTAAATAGCATTGTTACCTACGGACACCCGGGTCTAAATAGCATCGTTAGCTACGGATACCCGGGTGTAAATAGCATTGTTAGCTACGGATACCCGGTGTAAATAGCATTGTTAGCTACGGATACCCGGGTGTAAATAGCATTGTTAGCTACGGACACCCGGGTGTAAATAGCATCGTTAGCTACGGATACCTGGGGGTAAATAGCATTGTTAGCTACAGACACCCGGGGGTAAATAGCATTGTTAGGTACAGACACCCGGGGGTAAATAGCATTGTTTGCTACGGACACCCGGGGGTAAATAGCATTGTTACCTACGGACACCCGGGTGTAAATAGCATTGTTAGCTACGGACACCCGGGTGTAAATAGCATTGTTAGCTACGGACACCCGGGTTTAAATAGCATTGTTAGCTACGGCGACCCGGGTGTAAATAGCATCTGCCTTAAAGGTAGGGTAGGTAAGTTTGAGAAACCGGCTCGAGTGCGCTAGAATTTGAAAATACACAACCGGAGAAAATCTGCCACTTCCTTATAGAGCCCCTCCTCCAACACAAACGAACGCGCACATGACCAATGAGGGCACGAGATAAGTTTGTGCACAGATGGAAGGCTGACAGGCAGGTAGGCCATCCAGTTATTTTAGCCGGGCCAGCTAAAATGATTGGTCGTGCTTTTTACAGTACTACGGCTTCCACAGATGACATTTTTTTATGGATTTTTTGTCAAAGCACTTAAAGGGCCCATGTCATGGCCATTTCCACTGATCATAATTACATTGTTGAGGTATACTAAAATAGATTTATACTGTGCAATTTTCCAAACTCACATTGGTTTCGCATACAGCATCTCTGTCAAGCATGTGTATTCAGCAGTATTCACTTTCTCCACTAAACGACTCGTTGGAGCTCTTGCCCCCCCCTCCCTGTGAGCCTAGTGTGCTCCGATTGGTCAGCTCGGCCACTCGTTCTGATTAGTCAACCACCAGAGAGGCTGCGCCCATGTCAGTGCTTTTCCCGGCTGCTCTCAGCGTAACATCAGTCTTATCATGGCGTCGGTACAGCGGTATATTTTATATACATATATATTTTTAACTGTTGTTATAGAAGAGTGTGACGGCCCCAGGGCCTTTGTCTTACGATGGGGTGGAGCTGAAGAGGCTAATCAGCACGATCACGGACACCTCCGGACACAGTCTCTCTCCAAAGCGGCTGCAGGAAGACTAACTCTGCGATCCTCTCAACCACCTCTCTCTGCATTTACCACAATAAATGTGCCGTGGTTTTGTAAACTCGTGTATGTCTCCTTGTCTTTCCGTTGTGGCCTACGAGCTACTCTCATAACAAAGAGTAAGTTATTTTTACCCGTTATAAACTACTACTGTTTGATGAGAAATCAAATCATGGTTTGCTATATATGAATTCAGGGAAGAAAGGATAGGCCTACTAAGTATTTCCATTAAACTTTATTTTTAGAAATGTACAAAATGAACATAAATATACATATACACACGGTATATCATTCATTCCTCCTCCTCGCATCTTGCCCGCGCACAGTCGGTGCGGTGCCTTTTAGCACGAGCCCTCAGTAGTAGTCGAAGTCCCTTCCCCGTCATGGATTGTCCGCCAGGATCTGGCTGGACGAAATCAAATGCAAATCACAAAATATTAGAGAAACTTAGTTGTTTTAGATTCGTTAGTAGTAGTTGTGTAATGAACAGCTTGCCTGCTAATATGCTAAGCTAGCTTTGTTTACCTTGGTAGCTAACACGATATGAACGTTAGCTTGGAGGAAAGGCAACTATAATGCAGTGTAATAAAACTACTATGAACAAAAGCTAGTGGTTCATATTAGGCTAGCAATAACGTGTTTATAATTGCAATCGTATACGGGTATTCTGCTACCATACACAGGGTTGCCAACTCTCACGCATCTGGCGTGTGACACACGCTTTCACTCTCAATCTCACGCTCTCACGCTGCCCAAACTATTCTCACGCCAAAAACAAGAATACCGAAGACTAGAAACGGTTTTGAAAACTTTTGTCACGTAGTGATCATCTTCTCAATAAAACATCTTTGATAATGTCTTCTGGCCAATCAGAATCACGATAACGGCGTGGTGTTGTTGCAGGAAGTCCCGACGGAGAATACTTTTGCGGTAGTACATCTCTATACATCGATACAACATTACGTGTTGATAGAAATCAACACGTAATGAAATAAGACCCCACGGTTTGATGATTGATAGGTGTGTGGGCTGTCTTTCATTTTGACACACAGAACAATGGGGGCTATCCACCCTTATCCACAATGTAAAGTAATTCACACAGCCTCTTCCCTCTTCTCTCTGTGAGGAGCAGCAGGTTCAGCTTTCAGAACAAAGTCACAAAAAACTAAAATTAATTAATTTGTTTAAATATGTCGTGTAGTAATAGATTTATTTATTTTTCTTCTCAAGAGAGTACCAGAATGTGTATTTTATGTTAGTATTTCAAAAAATCTCCTGGGGGAGAATCCCCCCAGACCCCCCTGCAGGGGTTGGGTCTTCAGCATGTCAACTCTTTCACCTGTGGGGAAATTGCAGGATTGGCTCCAGGTCGCCCTTTTTATTTACTGCAAGACAAATGTGCCTTTTTATTTCATACAGTTCAATTTGGATTGAGACAGGGAAATGATCTAAACCTCACGCGTGGCGTTTCACTGTCGGGGGGAGCGTGTATGTAATTACATTGCAAATACTGACTTGAGCCCCACCACTGTATGGGTTAGCCCTACCATAGATTACCCAACAAAAATACTCTGGAGCCGCAACTGCCGACCCGTATTGCGCATGCGCAGATCTAAAATCCAGTAGAAATGATAAAAAAGTAAAAGTCTGCTGCTTATTGTTCTACTAGGCCAAAATAGAGTCAAAGAGTATATGAGAGTGAGAGTGTGTTAATTAATATATTTGGCAGTTTGGAGTAAGTCTGTAGATTTGTTTGTGTGTGTGCATTTTTATTTATCGTACGATAAGTCAATTAATTGCTTATCGCGACAGGCACACAATAAAACAGTGGAAACAAACATGTTTGACTTTC